CAGTTGTTGCTGCTGCTGCTGCTGGAGTTGTTGCTGCTGCTGGGGAAGCTTTAGCCTGTCGTATGGTTGTGTATCAGCTGGTCACTTGGCTGCAGCAGCTGCTGCAGCTGCTGCTGCTTCTTCTGCTGCTGCAGCAAACAGCAACATCTGCTGCTACTGCCCGCTGGGTGGAGCGACCCGCATAAGAGAAGAGAAGAGGAGAGGGGGTTTAGGGAGAAACAAAGAAAGACGAAATATATGCAGCAGCAGCTCAGTTGCTGCTGCAGTTTATGTTAATAAAAAGGGAGATGAGGCTCGACGACTCCTGCTGCTGCTGCTGCTGCTGCTCCTGCTGCTGCTCCTGCTGCTGCTGCTGCTGCTCCTGCTGCTGCTGCTGCTGCTGCGGAGCGCTAGAGTGTGCAGGAGAAACGAAACACGAAAAAGCTTCAGCTAAACCCTAAACCCTTGAAAAGGAGCCGCTGCTTATACAACACTTGCTGCTGTTGCTGCTGCTGCTACGGGAGCGGGCGCAGCATCTCCAGCTCTACAGAGGGCTGGCTGCTGCTGCTGCTGCTGCTGCTGCTGCTGCTGCTGCCGCTGCTATTGCTGCTGCTGCTGCTGCTGCTGCTGCTGTCGTGGGAGAGAGTAAAGGGGTCCAGCAGCAACTGAAGAAACTCTTTTTGAAAATGGTTTTAATGTGAAGGTGGCTTTGGGGTTTAGGGCTTAGAGTTGACCCTCTGGCCTCTCCGCAGCAGGAGTCGTTCGCGGGGGCGTGCAGCAGCAGCAGCAGCAGCAGCAGCAGCAGCAGCAGCAGCAGCAGCAGCAACAGCAGCAGCAACAGCAGCAGCCTCAGCGTCTCGGGCAGCGTTTTACCTCTCTCGTGTTCGAGTCTACACAGATCGGCTTCGGGCTGATTTGTCTTTCTTTCATGTTGACGACCGACAGGAGCGGGGAGCAGCAGCAGCAGCAGCAGCAGCAGCAGCAGCGACAGCTGTGACAGCAACAGCGTTCCGCAGCAACAGCTGCAGCAGCGAGTCAAGACATATTCGCCTGAACCCCTGCATCTGCAACAGGGGCTGAAGGAACCCCTGCAGCAGCAGCAGCAGCAGCAGCAGCAGCGGCAGCAGCAACAGCGGTGACAACGGCAGCTGCTGCTGCAGCGAAGGCAGCAGCAACACACAGACCAGCAGCAACGGCGGCTGCTGCAGCAGCAACTCCCTCGTGAACAGTCCGCCTGCTGCAGCTGCGGAGATGGGCCTTCTTCGGGGTATAATAGGCGGCAGCATTGCGGCGCTGCTGCTGCAGCAGCAGCAGCAGCAGCAGCAGCAGCAACTGGTTGCTGCCTTTGAGGCCCCAGCACACGAAGCCATATCAATGACTGCTTTATCAGGTATTGTTATATACACCGCATGCATACTGAAAATGTTTGCTGCTGTGCTGCTGCTGCATGCGTGTGTTGCGCTTGCTGCTGCTGCTGTCGGCTGTCTTTCTCTCTTTCATTTGCTGCTGCTGCTTCGTGCTGCAGCTGCTTAAACCTTGCTGCTCCCACTGAAGAGTCTGGGCTTTAGAAGGATAACAAAGAAAAATACTTCTTACACTCTAGGCTGCTGCTGTTGCTGCTGCTGCTGCTGTTGCTGCTGCTGTTGCTGTTGCTGCTGCTACAGGCCTCACCATGCAAGCAAATCAGGCGCTGCGCCGGCTGCTTAATGGGAAGGATGTTGCGGACGTTTCTGGTGAGTGGAGTTGCTGCTGCTGCTGTTGTGCTGCTGCTGCTGCTGCTGCTGCTGCTGCTGCTGTTCTGTTCGTGCTGCAGTTGCTGCTGTTTGTGTTGCTGTTTTTGTTTCTGGCTGTGTGTCTGTTTGCATGTTGCTATAGCATCCGTACTTGGTTCTCTTCCTGCTGCTATTCCTGCTGTTCTTATTGCCGCTATCTCTCCCGCTGCTGCTGCTGCTGCTGCTGCTGCTGCTGCTGCTGCTGCTGCTGCTGCAGGCTGGGCTCACCGAGTGACGGAGAAGTACCCGTTGACGGCTCCCTTACACTTCCAGCGGCAGCCTATATGCCCTCCCTCCTCAACAGCAGCAAACACAAAAATAGAGAGATCCTTCTGCAGCAGCAAAACTGCAGCAGAAGACGGCTGTCTCCTTGAGGCGCTCACTTACTTCTTCTATAGACTCACCGCACCTGAAAAAATAACTGAACCGAGAGATGATGGTATGAACTCCTGCTGCTGCTGCTGCTGCTGCTGCTGTTGCTGTTGCTGTTGTTGTTGTTGTTGTTGTTGTGATGGTGGTGCTGCTGTTGTGATGCTGCTGCTGCTGCTGTCGTGGGGATGATCCTGCTGTTGTCATGCTGCTGCTGCTGGTGTCGTGCTGCTGCTGCTGCTGCTGTCGTGCTTCTGCTGTTGCTGCTGTCGTGCTGCTGCTGAGAATGTTGCTGTTGTATCTCTGTGCGTATTTGCATCTTCTTGTGGTTGCTGTTGCTGCTTTTCTTACAACAACTGCTGCTGCTGCAATTGCTGCTG